TTCGTCATCTTAACGTTATGTTGCCTGTCAGCGCTGTTTGTCTTCCAGAGCAAGTTGTTATGTGCTGTGCAATAACCATGCAAAGTATGTACAGTAATGGACAGATTACTGAACAGACCTGTCAGTTTGTTCCTGTACACCTGGACTCTGCACTGTCTGTGAGTACACTAAGAGCTACTGAAAGGAGTAATCCCTTCCTTTGTTAGGCTCCCTGGAGGGGGTCAGGCCTATGCTGCCTCAGCACCTATATATTTTATTATCCTAATTTGACACTATGTTCCCTCAGCATCATCCTTGGCCCATGTTAAAAACGATATCCGATAACAGATAGGAACAAAATTATGCGACCGGGAAGGTCAGGTGACATCATTCTGCAAAACAAAATGCCATATGCTTCAGTTTGTTTTATTTTTGGAGCAATGGGTCTTTGGATCCATGGCCATGGACAAAAAGGTCTTCGGTCAGAATCTGAATCTTTTAAAATAAAAGTGCGCAATACACTACTTTTGAATTCATTGTTGAACTTTGCCATAATCATGCGATTAATCGCAATTAAAAATTGTAATCGTTGCCCAGCACTAATATATCTATATATGAACATAAACCTATAAACAACAATGGTAATGGGAATTGAGGTGATAGTGCAAGTGGTGGTAATAGTGCAAACAGAGGTAATAGTGCAGTATGTCTGATGAATTGTTCATCAGAATGACGGCCAGTGGAAAGAAGCTGTTCCTGTGTCTGGTGGTTTTGGCGTACAGAGCTCTGTAGTGGGGTTGAGGGAACATAGGTCTGAGGGAACATAAGGTTGAGGGAACATGAGTTTGAGGGAACATAAGGTTGAGGGAACATGAGGTTGAGGGAATGTATGGCTGAGGGAACATGGGGTTGAGGGAACGTATGGCTGAGGGAACATGGGGTTGAGGGAACGTATGGCTGAGGGAACATGGGGTTGAGGGAACATAAGGTTGAGGGAACATGGGGTTGAGGGAACATATGGCTGAGGGAACATGGGGTTGAGGGAACATAAGGTTGAGGGAACATGGGGTTGAGGGAACGTATGGCTGAGGGAACATGGGGTTGAGGGAACATGGGGTTGAGGGAACGTATGGCTGAGGGAACATGGGGTTGAGGGAACATGGGGTTGAGGGAGCGTAGGTATGAGGGAACATACACAGCAAATTCCAGCCTTTGGAATAGTCTGTGTGAGTTCAAATCAACTAAATTTGATTATGCTTAACCATCAGATGGACTCTAGGGCAGAGTTGAAGTAACTATTTTCTGGGAGTTGATCTTTGAACTCTTTTCAGAAGTTAAAACTGAACTCCTGAGTGAAAACCTGCCCGTATCACTCTGTGTGACTCCCCCGTCGACGCTGTGGAGTTTTTCTGCTTCCTGGGCTCCACCATAACCCAGGACCTCAAGTGGGACCCTAACATCAGCAGAGGATGTACTTCCTGAGACAGCTGAAGATCTCAACCTGCCAAAGACAATGATGGTACACTTCTACACAGCCATCGTTGAGTCTATCTGCAGCCACTGTCAAGGACAGTTACCAAGATATTATGCCCCCTTACTAAACTGTAGTGTAAAGTTAGCAATACAAGTTATTGAATAGGTGCAATGCCTCAGTGACTCACATCATTCATGGTATTCAAATATTTGTCATTAAACCTGCTCAAGGGACCTGATAGTGAAATGGCAAGTCTTTTGAGTGAAGTAACAGCAATAAGACAGTTTGCAGGACTCTCTTGGTCCATAACTTTACTTGTGTAATGCCTGCCTGCAAACCCTGGAGCCATGTCAGCCTTCCCTCACCACTCATCCTTCTCCCATTCGGCCTAGTCTGCCATCCAGCATCGCCCCTCTGCCTTCTGCCTCAGCCAGCCATCATCTTCTTTCCATTCTCTGTGCTCCAACAATAAATGTCAGAGTCCTGTGTTTGGGTCCTGTGACATCACAACAACTTGCGATGACTCAGTACTGATTAGACAGAGTCCCTGATCAGGAGGCAGCACCACAGTGATGCCAGTGCATCACACAGACACACTTTCACCACAGCCCTTTCAGAGCGTCTGTCTCCATGCATGCATGTCCAAACATGTTGCTTCTGTTCATATGTTGACATGTAATAAGTCAGCTGAGTGCATGGCAACACAGACACATGTATCCTGCTGACAGAGCTGTTCAGGGTCTGACTCTGACTGCTATCAAGCAGCAGTAATGAGGGTGAGTTCAGTACAGAATGTGATTGATGGAAACTTCATAAACAAAACAAATAGGAATATGTCATCAAGCTGTCTTGGCATTCATTCTGAATTACAGCTCAATCTTCCATTTTGGCTAAACAGCCCCTTGTTTGTTTCACCCTGACAGCAGCTTAGTGTCTTCCTCACATCCACCTAACCCCCCCCCCCCCCCCCC